GTCAGACAACAGAATGCTAACATTTTTCAACTAAAAGAATTAAGCGTTGCAAGCAATATTTCTATTTATACATATCATCAAACCAATCGATACACTTCCAGAATGTTCACTTCTAGGGAATACATTTCACATTGAATTATAGAAAATAATTCCTTATTGACCTAACAAAATGTTCCCTTAGGTATTGTGTACTTTTTCAAATCTCAGTCTTTAATATCTTGATCAAGACAACGTAGAAATTTCTTGCAGGCATTGCCAGCAGCTACATAACCTTGTAACTCACTCTGGCAGCCCACTGAAGCTCAGCAAGTGAGAGCCTGGCCAGCACCTGGATGGGAGACTCCTGGGAAAGCTGAGGTTGCTGGTGGAAGTGGTGTTACTGGGACCAGTAGGGAGGGCTCATTCGGCGGTCTGAGTGGGTTCTAATGCCCCAGTATATCGATGGTGACACTAAACTGTAAAAGAGGCGTTGTCCTTCATTTGAAACAAAAAACTGATCTATGATTTGGCTTCATCATTCTGTTCTCCTCCTCACTGATAGCTGATAGGGGAGCGTACTGGCGCTTTGGCTGCCATTGCATTATCCAGGAAGGGACTATACACTCGTGGTGGAGGGGTGTCCACATTATCTGTAAAGAGCTTTGAATGGAGGGCAAGAAACCACTATATGAGTGTTATTCTTGTTCTATCAGTGAACTTGTGGAAAGGTTATAAATCAAGCTATTAAACTATTACATCCATTTTATGCAGATCTAAAAGCTTAAAGATCATCTGACTAAAGACAAATTAAAAACATAAAACAAAAACGAGAAAAAGCATTAGTGTTTTAATTTTCTTCTTCGTTAACTTTTTAAATATTTTTACTGAAATATTTTTTTCAGCTGCGAGTCATGAAGGGAATTTTCATTTTGACAGAAAACAAACCACTGTTACTGCTGCTGTTTCCTGGGAACATGTTCATGAACTAATTCTTACAAATCACTTCTATAAACAAAAAACAATAAAATAATTCAAATAAGTGTTGTAAAATAACATTTCAGAAAAAAAATCAGCCATACAAATTAAAAGCAAATAATAACGTACAGTAACATATGGTCCAAGTCATGTGACAACACCAACCAAAAAAAAATCCACTAAATGCCTCATAATTTTAAAGCTGTATAGCAAATGAAAAGCAACTTGACCAGTTTAAAAGAGAACTTAAAATGAAGAGTGAGATAGACTTTGACCTTGACAAGACCTTAATAAGCCTTGCATACTGTACCTTATTCAGAGAGGTAACAATGAGTTTTTGAAAGATAAGAATGAAAGAGCTTTCCTCCTGTCAATCTGACAGACACTGGGGCATCTCATCTTTTAAATCTGTATCTGAAAATACAGATACAGTTGTACAAAATCCTAAGTAAAACAGGTAATGTAAAGACAAATAAGTTTATGTTTTAAAGGATGTTGCTAAGAGATATTTGTGTTATTTTGACCCATTTGTTTACAAAATTTGTTGCCTTGAAGACTTAGCTGTCTGTTATTTATGCAACATGTATTAATTATTAATTTGAAACATCTTTGTGCTATGATGTCCACAATATCACAGTATTACTCAATATAATTATATAATCAGTATAATTCAAGTTTTAAACCCCTTGAGCCAAACATGCTGGACCCTTACAGTCTACAGATTATAGGTATTCAAAAGAAACTATTTTAACAAAACCAATTTTCTATTGCATACATGCAAACATTATCATTAAATGAATAAATAAAGAATTACGTTTTGAAAGCACTTTCACAACATAAGGCATTGCAGAGTTCTCTTTGTCAGACACAAGCCTGTTTCAAAACAGGATAGTTTTCCAACTCACGTTTTCAAGACTAATAATGTCTGACGCAACTATTTTCTTACTTTGCAGCATTGCAAAAAGAAGCTAAATAACATTAATTAATAACAAAATGTGACAATCAATCAAATTCAAAACCATAGAAAATAACCTAAATGTGAAAATCATCCAAAATACCAGTCTCTGATTACATATTGATGCACTATACGATTATTTTGCTGTCTAATTGAAACAACTATGAAACATTGTGCAATCACTTTAAACTCTTTAGTAAGTTCTCAGGGATGTCAAATGACATAGGTTACCAATGTGCAAGGATAACTAATTAAGAAAGTGAGTGTAACGATACACAGAATGATTGCCTTGTGTTCTATTCAGTATGTCTGCTTTTCCCACATCTAACATCATTACTTTTGAAAAAGGATGCAGAAAAAATAGTACATACAGTATGAGCCTTCTGCTAATGAATCCAAAGTGGTACTTTCAGTCTTTGATAATTCCCTTACTGAAAAGACATAAAAGAACAGAGGAATTATCCTGAATTCCAACTGATTATTGAAGTCCATGCATCCATTTTCTAACCATTTCCTCCAATACAGGGTCAAGGGGAGCTGGAGCCTATCCCATCAAGCAATGGGTGTGAGGCAAGACACACCCTGGAGAGGACATCAGTCCATCACAGGACACACACAGACAGAGACATGAACACACTCACACCAGGGCCAATCTTCCCAGAAGCTAATTATCCCACCAGTATGTCTCTGGACTGTACTGTAGGAGGAAACCAGAGCAGCCAGAGTTAACCCACACCAACACAGGGAGAACATGCAAACTCCACACAGATAGCACTTCAAGAATGTAATCCAGGGCCCCTGCACTGTGAGGCACCAATGCTAACCACTGCAAAATGCCTCAAAAAGTAATGCTGTTTTAAACTGCTGTGTTTTACAATAAAGTGCACATCCTCATGAGGTTCTACATACGTCTTTTCTTTCATACAGTATATTCAACAGTACTCAATACTCACGTTAAAAGAATTACATTTTCCTTCTACTGCTGAAGACAATAGTTTTTTTTTTTAATTCAGTGACAATGGGATGTTTCCAGGGCTGTCAAGTAAAGCAGACATCATTTTTGCTGATTCCACATTTTTTGCAACAGGATTTTGAGGAGTGTGCTTCCCATTAAATTGAAAGAGAGACACTGCAGAAATGGGTTACTTCTGTGATATACTGGGTTTTCAATAATTACGATTTACAGATAAACAAGTGTCAGCAGTATTTATATACACTGTGAATTCATGACTTTCAGTATTTTACCACTGTGGCTTCTCACATTTCCTGATGTTTTGTAAGGAAAGCTAAAAACCCTTGGCACAGCAGCCCTGAACTACAGTGTCCTCTCCTGTCTCGCAACTTGGACTGAAATATTGTCCTTCTCAAGATGATAACCACCAATAATATCTTAAATGGATAATAAAATAACCAGATGGCACAGCAAAAAAATGTCAGCCTTTCAGCTTGGGAGGTCTGGGTTCAAATATAGTTTAGATCACAGATTAAATATTTTGTGGCCTCAACAAACTTGTTCTAGCTCATAACAAAAAGCTATAAAAACACACCTGTGAAGAGTAGAGACTGTACCAATATTGCATATGTTGTCTCTCCTGTCAAAAATATACTGTATGTTTAAAGTATTAGAATGAAATTAAAATATGACAATGATTAGTGAGATGCAAAGCCATGTTTAAAAATTTGAGATACAAAAGGGGACTATAATGTAACCACAGCCCAGTCTGCCAATAGAAGAAGAAAGTCTTTTTTTTTGCCAGTATCAATGTACAATACTTGCCATTTCTGCATCATGGAATAAGTGTAAAAGGATATTACCAAAGAGTCCAGTTTTAAGCGGAAATGGCTATGAAAATCCAGAGCAATTGTGAAGCACAAATTAAAGGAGTAATGACCACATACAGTAGAATCTTTAATCCCCCCACTCCTAATGAAGAATTTACCACCGCTTTTAACAAGTTGCAGATGGTGATATTCAAAATAATACAATCCTAAACAATTAAATCATGCTCACTTTCCTTTACCTACTGCAGACCTCCGGATTTTTTTTTTGTGGGTGGGGGGGGGGGGGGGGCTTAAATTGGAAGCACCATAAAATGTTAAAACTGTACCCTGTCACAACATCAGTATTTACATAACTTTGAAACAGGGATCTGATCTATGACAGACAACAAGTATTTTCTTGCTGTAAATACGACCATAAAAGGTTGGAAAAGGAACCATATGGGTTATTTGCGACTAATTGATTGCCGGTAGCTAAAATTCAATAATTATTTTGCTGACGATTTGTACACAGTGCCAGCACCCTCGTTCCATTAGGGATATTACAAATTGTAAATCGCGGGATTCGTCTTTTGCTGTCAAAATACAGAACACTTGTTAAATAATACGTGTATACAAAGGTTCGCAATGTCGTTCGTTGGGTTGCTTTCAATAAGATAATTGCAATGCGGACAACAATAGTCCCCAGTGAGCTTGTAAAACAGTAAAACCCGGGGCTTAAGAGTTTCGATAGAATTTGCCGATCTTCATGACCCCATTAGCTTGAGTTCAGTTGCTGCTGTACCTTGGTTCTGCGGTTTCGGTGGTTGTTCTTTTTATGATTGTTTTACTGTTAGATTAGAAATGGAACAATGCAGTAAAAAGCCCGAAACAAACTTTCGGTATGAGGTTTCCACCGACCAACATCAGGGCAAACCCAGGGAACAGCAACAAACACAAGTGGAGACAATGTCTCATTCTGCTGCCCCTGAACGAGCGGCGCAAACAAAGCTGGAAAGGGAATCAACAAAACACACGCAACTTGCCAGCACTGCTGATAGAGAAACACCTGCCGGCGCCTTAACTCCAAAACCTTGATGTACTCAATAAAACGTTTAATCACTAAAACGTCGCATATTCTTCTCGATAAAGCTCATGCCCATTAATCTTCAAACTATTTAACGAGTAGGAGATCAAAGCTCACTTGACATTTTCAGCCTTTTTACAACTATTTTATTAGCTCTATAAAGGATACTAACGTGCATATATTCGGATAACATACAGTATGCATTAATTACAGAGGCACACAAAGACGTATGCATTAATTACTCACATATCTTCTTAATTTTTTCTCCGGTGGTGACTTTCGCAACCAGCCTTGACAGATAATTTCTCCTCCACTCATCCTGATGAGAATGCTGGAAGTTTGCGCTTGGTTCCAGTTACAGCATTCAGCGCAAGAGACTTGTACCCCTTCAATCTCTGGTCCTGCTTACTTCATGCTGGCATGGAGAATGCAGTGCTATCAATATCACACACGCTTTGGTGCAATCTGCTTCCCCATTTAACAAACCACCAACTCTGCAGGACAGCGAACAATGGACAATGCTTCTTCTCGGTTACAGAACGCGTAGTACAGTATATCCCTTCAGTGCGAAGCGCAAGCCAGTGCACACTGACAGCAGTTAACCCTGTCCGATAGCTGGCAAACACCAGCTATCGTTTTGTAGGAAGTAAAGAGTCTGCTGTTTGTTTCCAGTACTCACCACGCCTACAGCACTGAATAGGATGGGCTTAAAGGGAAGACCAGCAAAACAGATTAAGACAGAAAACACTGTGGAAGGTACAGTGTGGTATTTAAAGCTCACAATATAAGCATTCGATTCATGTAATAAATTATTGATTTGCACTTTTTTGGATTTTTTGTTCTGCTGTGTTGTGATTTTTTAATACCATGATAGTTATGTGCAATAGGGATGTATAACACAATTCATGATACAATGTGGCGAACACAAAGGGAAAAAAAACTTCATAGGAAAAACGGTAATTAGATACTGGAAAAAGTTAGTAGAATCACAGAAAGAGACGGGAGAAAGTTCAATCCAGGGTCACTCCCTTGCTTAGTGGGAGTCAGCCTACAGTCAGAACCTCACAGCAGAGAAACTGCAGAGGTTTATATCTAAAGTGAGATTTCAAAACGGAATTCAGCAATGTTAAGTAGTGAGAAGGCTGGTCAGGATCTGGTCATCAAGAAATTGCATCTCTCTTATGGGCCTATTTGAATAAGGATCTTAAATCATTGTGAAATGAAGGAACTGTATGTCCATATTGCAAAGCAGTAACACCCAGTGGTCGATCACTGTACAATAAAGGACAGTAGCTACTTCCTTAAAGATCCACATCTGTAACATGGTTCACCTTCAAACATATTGGGGGATATGAGTGAGACCTCCCTCACAGAAAGACGTAGAAACTGCTTCTATATGGAAGAAAATGTGTAAAAGTAATTTTAATCTAAGAGTTATATCCACACATTGTCTATTGATAACTATGGTTATTAACAGAGTCACATCTTTGCATTCTGCTCTTTTTAGAATTTATATATTTTTTGTTGTGTAGGAAGCAAATATGGCAGGAGAAACAGGAAGGTCTCTCTTTGTACTATATTTTATCTGTTACTGTTAAATATGTCACATGCTGTTTGTGCTCAACTTCTTTCACCTTAATCTCAGGTGTGCCCCTTCTTTGTTGTTGATCAATACCTGATTTTTAACATACCTAATGTAAATAGTTGGTCAGGATTGTCGTAGAAAACAGTACACAGAAAACAGCCCAGAGAAAAATGCAAAAGGTCAACACTAAGATCTCCAGAGATTATTCGATATGCTAGGTTAAGATTTATAATTTGACACACATTGATTGTGACTGAAACACTACATAAGGCTATTTACTAGGTTAAGTCAGCAAAACAATTGCAGTAATAATAAGAAAATAAGTAAATTAGATGGAAAGCATATTGAAGTAAACAAAATGAAATTAGACCATCTTGTTGGGAGGTACCATCCGCAGGGATATTATAATCAAATCAAGTCAGAGTAATTGCCTAATTGCCTGTACTAAGCACATAACCAGTGAGACAGTACACAGGAGAAGCACACACAGATCACAGAAGCAAAAGAATTAATGCAGAAGCTCGCCATCTAGTGTAAAAAACAAGTACAGCAGCAAAGCACTGGCATGATAACTTTGTTGGCTGCTGCTCACCAAAATATTGCTGCTTATACCAAATATCTTGGAAACAGTAATAAACTAATACTTGAATCCCTCTTGAAAAGACTGTAGATTGGGCTGCATTGATTCTGGATTGCCCACTGTGACCTCTGTGATTTTCTGGTAGAATATACCTTAGATGGCAAATGTCAATTGTTTTTTGAGCAAGTTGAGTAAGCTTGAAACAAACATTATCACATCTTTCATTCACACTTCCCCTAAAAAACAAGGAATTGCATTCAATTTTAAAGTTTTAGACTAAAGTCTCTAATCATGTTAAATACTCTTTTGTGATACACTGTTTAAAGAAAAAAACACACTGGTTGGACAACCATCCAAGAAATCGTCTTCAAGTGTGTACTGCTTTTTTGTTAGAGAATGTTAAACCTGATTTGTTGGGAATCAGCAATGCAAGAAAGCCAAGTTAATTTTACTTACTTAGAAATCTGATTACCTGTGGTCTCTTTCAAATCTCTCTAGTGTAATTAGGTCTAATTACAGAGCTGGAGAATGTTTCTCACAACTATTTTGTAACCAGATACCATAAGCTCTCTGATCAAAGGTTTTCACCTACAGCATACAGTGACACAAACTGTAAGGAGCTAAAAGGAAATTTTCATCAACAAAATCTTGGGGTGAATGCACTGGCTATAATACAGAGCTAATTTATTTTAAAAAAGACAGGCAAAAGCAAAGGACCCAATTCATGTACATTTGCATACATCAGCTCAAATACTGTACATTTTATGTTCAAAGTACACAGGAATGAGAAAATCGTGGAAATGGGATAACATCCTTAATATTGTCAACTCCCAGGATACATTGCAGATAGCGTTCAAATCCCATGCCGAATCCACCATGAGGGACTGAGCCAAACTGTCTCAACTCCAAATACCTGAGAAAAATACAGCAGTGTAAACAAGACTTGTTTACCAATTTATGCTAGTTACCTTTCAAGAAATAAAACATACAGGATTATATATCAATTTGTACTAAAATGCAGCTGTTTCAAATAATAAGGGTGGCCTTACCATTGGTATGTATCCTTCAGTCCTGTCCTAGGAAAACACAACAAAAGCCAATATAGCTTTAAGGTATAGTAGAATAATGCAGAAAAAATAAACAATGAATGACTTCCGTTCACATTTTTCAGAAACAAGTGTCAGTATTTTAACGAGTAATACAATCCTGAAAATATTTTCAAACCCTGTTGCTCAGGGTTATTTTAAGTGTCCTTGAAATACTGTAGTAAGTACAGTACATGAAAGAGGTGAAGTATATACATTTGGGCGGAACACACTACGACATTTTATAAAGTACCGAAAGTGAAAAGCCTGTGAGAACAATGCATTGCTTTGTTAACCAAAAACAAAAAGATTTTTAAATGTACTGCAGTGATCGCTGCTCTGCTCTATTGAACATGTAAATAAGCCATGTGCATGCAAGACTCCCTCACTGAGTCTGTACGGAGTGGGAAACAGTGTCTTGAAATAAGATGAGACTGTCATGGGCACTATGACTACAACTATTTTAAAAAAAGGTAATTAACTAATGTCAAAAATGTCACAATTTTGTGAATGTGCACTGTGGTATTCTACATTCCCAGAATTGCCTATATCCCTAGATATTAATTACTACTGTCATTATATAGTGTTGCTTGCTATATTATACTGTACATGCCTGCAAGGAACATTAAGATGGTGGTAGCAACGGAAGAGGGTTGAGAATTGTAGAATATCATAAGCACAAGTTTTATGACAAAGCCCTTCACCTCTCATGCTCTAGGCTATTTTTAAAGAACAAAAACAGAATTTGTGCTTCTTTAACCTAATACACCCCCTCCCCAAATTGGAAGCCAAGGTCAACGACCTCCTGGAATGGATGTACCCTTTAAAAAAATCTCAAATTATCTTGGAAAGGGTGGCCTGTACAGGCCTGGTATACAGTAGTAACTTTTTGATTCCTCTGTTCAATTCTGAGGTGTGACAGATGGGAAAGGACAGGTGGTGTTTGTGCATTCTTACTTCTCCAGGCGGGACTTCAGCAGCTCCAGGCGCTCTTCTCTCAGAGACCCTCCACACAGCTCTCCTATTCCAGGCACCAAGAGATCCACAGCAGCAGCCTGGGAAACACAAATAAAATACACAGAATCCCTTCCTGTGAGTGTGGTTCCTCTGGGATCACTGTACAATCAAGGCTTAATGTACATCATGCATCTGGACTGGGTAGAGTTTTCAAAAAGGGTGGAGTCACGCAGAGCAAATATTCTGATTTATCGAGGAACTGTATGCCACGTTAAATGCCCCTTTTAATCCTAAAAAAGAAAAGAATGTTTACTAATGAGAGGGGGCCATTTAGTTCATCTAGCTCGTTTGAATTTTGGTAATTGCAAAAATCACAAGAGCATAAGATGTTTATTATTATATCTTGCATCTCCAGTTGAGAGAAAGTTAAGTAACAAATACAGGATAATTTCAAAATCAGAGTTTACAAACTTGCATGTACTGTAAAACACATTCCTTATATTCAGGGAATCAAATATGGTCATGAGAAATGTTTAAAAATGTCTTAAAAATGAATCAATATCAGATATTAGACAAAAACAGTACATCTGAAATCCCTATTTTCCACTACAGGGTTTTTCCTTTTTGACTGATGTTATTTGTCGAAATACATTTTCATTGGTGGTTGCAACACATCCTACAACCAATACAAATAAAACGTACTGTGTGCTGTGGCTTGTCCTCATTGTTTCTTGCATAGAAAGGCTTCAGGTTATAGGGGTAGTTAATGACGAACAGTGGGATGTTACCACAGTGCTGTACCAAGTATTTTTCATGTTCTGTCTGAAGATCACAGCCCCACTAAAAACCACAACACAGACATGAATTAAAAAACATCTTTTCAATGACACAAAAATCACGAATAAGAACCGTCAAACTGCTAGACAGGTTTCAAATCTATCATGTAACCTTTGAGAGTTTCAAAGAACTAACAAAGGTCACTTGTAGTTTAGTAATACAGTATGAAGAAATGCCATCTGCCTTTTGTAGTTTCAAAATGTGCTATACCAAAACAAGCAAAACACCCAACTCTTTTTTGGAAACGGATTTTAAGAGCTCTGTATCATTCCTGGCGTAATATGTCAGTAATTATTAAAGGTGCGTGACCGAAAGAGAGCAGGACAGCTTCCAATGACGAATCATGACACAAATGTCATTTAACTTCCTGTATTAAGTCATTTGTGTTCGTTATGTAGTACAAGACTGAAACATAAATCATACCACATCTCATGTCACTGAAGTACTTTATTAGAAAGTTTCAACATCTCACATTTGTCTATATGAATAAAATCAATATCTCTGACATTTAATCTATACATTTAAAAAGCAACCAAGCTATCTCTAAAAAATAACTTATTTTAATATCCTCATTATTCATCAGGAATGGGCAACTCCAGGTCTCAGTGGTCAGATTCTCACAGATTCAGATTCTTTACAGGTACTTTTTAAGTAGCAACTGATCAATACCTACAGACTTAGGCAATTAAACTTTTTTATTCAAATTACTGAATCAATCAAGTAATTGGAATCAGAAGTGGATTACAAACTAGAAGACACATAGGTCTCCTGTGAACTGGAATTGCCCATCCCAGGCAACTCTAGTATGACATTAATAAAGAAACATATTCACCATATCTGAGGTACAGTACTGTAATCATGGCTAGCTGTGTATCAGCTTTTATAAAAAAACAAATGGAAACTGTGAACAGGTTACTTATCAGAAATACTTGCCTCTGGTCTGAAGGCAAAATTCTGCTGACTGTGTTTCAGAACGTCTACTGCTTCCGTGTACGAAATACTAAACAACAAGGAAAATATATTTTACCTACAGGACAAAGAGAAGAAAACACGACTCCTTAAACCGGAAGGTTTGGGATTAAGTACTTACACCTTAAATTTGTTCTTCAGCATGTGATTCAATCTGTCCTGAGTGCCAAAACAAAACCCAAAAAGTTATAAAACATAATAAGCGTGAATGATATAGTAAGGCGGGCTTTAGATTCCCTTACCATGTGTCCTGGTGCAACATACTTGTGATACAGCTCTACGTCTTCTGAACACCTGGAAAGAATGCATTCTGTAGCTGTTTTGAAGAGATCTTCCATAACCTAAGATGGGAAACAGTACATCTTACTTGTGTGAAAAAACAGACATTTATATTAATATATTTATATTAAACTAGAACTTGTATAAGGAGAATAATTATGTGTTTTTCCAAATATTTGTGTTATAAACACACTGCAGGAGCTAGCCGAATGCCAAGTGTTTAGAAAGTTAGCTGCCTACTCAAAGACAACTATAATGTGAAAACCGTGCATTGTGGAGAAACGATGTTTGATACACATTTTGACACTGCGTGGGGTGTTGCTGTGTCGGGGTGCTTTTAAGTATGTGAAGCCTGAGGAAACAGAAGCAGAGTTGAAAAACAGTGCTTTTATTTACAGTGCTGAACAAGAGCCATGGAAAACCTGAAGACAAAAGCCTAGTTCTTTCCAAGCTCACTTCCAAGACCTTAACTCGAAATCTCGTACACTGCTATACATAACCACTTGCTGGTCGCTTATAGCTCCATCAACTCTTGAAGTTACGGGTTCAGAGCTCTTACCACCACACACTGCTGCTCAATATAAATATGAGCGGATGTTATGATCCTTAGCACGACTTTCAGTAGGATAGAATACAGATGTAATGGAAGGGAAAACGTCCAGATGATAACTGCTATTTTGTACCACTGGCAACAGTTTCACACGGCAGGCGCGGCTACATGTAATTAGGTCAGCTTAGACCGGGACTCAGACAAGCCAGAAACAAATTTCCTTCGTCCAAAAGAAGAGCTAACAGATACAAAAGTAGTATCCTGTTTTTAGAAACATCTTCTTCTTTTTGTTAACGGAATATTTTACAATTTTCTTTTTTTGTGTTCAGAGGATGTCAACAGAAACCTCAGTGGTAATACAATGTAAAAAAAACAAGAATAAACGAACAAGCAGCTGACCAACAAGGCAGCCGTTCAAGAAACCTCAAAACACACTTCTCTTTCAGGATACTTCAAGGATGTTTGCATGGTTTCTCTTGAGATGCAGTAACAGGCTAATTAGATTATTCACAGAGAAAATGACTTACGATTCTTAGAGACACCATTCTTGAGATTCCTAGAAGAAGTGAAATAATGCACAATGGATCTACAAGTACAGTATATAGCTTCAGATCTGAAGCAAATACCTGTTATTAGACCCCTTCAAAAATATAGTTTTGGGGCATTTTTTCATAGTGAATCAAAACCTCAACATCGTCTATACTTAAACATTCACTAAACAAGTAGAGGATCCAATTAAAGTGAACTAAAAACTGTCTTGGAAGAAAATCATGCTTCCTCAATATTTCTTTGCCATGAAAACACTTTTTTTCATTACCGTTGTTATATCTTCCAGACTGTGTGTAAAGGCAATCTCGGCCTCCACCATGTAAAACTCTGCTAGATGTCTTCTGCTCTGAGAGTTCTCTGCTCGAAAGGTGGGACCAAATGTGTAGACACAGGGAAATGCCCTTAAAAAAATACAAAAAATCATAACAAGATCAAAATCCATGTTCAGTTTTAGAATGACAGTATTTTTCCTCAAACAAATGTCATTTACTAAGGTCTGTGCGCATAATCTGGAATGAAGATAACCAATGACTGCACAGAAACATCTTTCTTGTTTTAAGTCTGTTGATAGTATATTAATTAGTCTGGTTACTCTCTGATTTTCCCATTCAATGCATAATTTAATTTGAGATGAGGCACATGTGGGTTTTTCATTGGAATTTGTTTAACTGATTTTGCAAGACTGACTTGCTGTTGTCAATGGAAAACCAATATGCACAAAGTAAGCTAAGGTGACATCATTTTCTGACTCTGTTTTATCAATCCTTTATTCAATAAACTTCATAGGCACACAATATATTGTTCTAATTTTTCTTTCCTTTCTGTTTAGGGGGGAATGCCCTAAAAGAATTGCTAATGAAAGAAAGCTGATTTTAAATCTTGGTGTTACATCTGAAAATCATCTGATATATTACTGTTAATTTATGATATCATGTTGAGGCTTGTTCCACTATAATGAAATACTACAGAAAGACCAAGTGGCAGTTTGGTTGCTATGGAGATCTTAATAATAAAGAAAGAATGATTACAAATGATTTACTATGGTTTCATAAATATGAACATAAGAAAGGTTGCAGAGAAGAGGAGGTCATTTGGCCCTTTAAGATCACCTGGTTGTTAGTAGCTCTGAGTAACTCATCCAGTCTTTTGTGAAATAAGACAGGATATCGGGTTCCATAACACGGCTGAAAACCATATCCACCAACAAAAGGCACTGTTATATAAATACTCTAGTAAAGCAATGCAGTAGTTAAGTTTCTATAGAATAGATTTAGATATAGCTATAAAGCACAGGGCATAAGAATTACTTGTGTCTTCAGTAACAATCACTGACATCTAATTCACTTGAATTTCTAAAGAAACTGGTGTTGGACTCACAACAGAAATGATTGTGAGATTTCTGAGAAACATACTTAAATCCAAGGACACTATCTTAACCCTCACAAAAACAAACTTCAGTAGTGTAGTGTTTTCTAACAGAGTCACTGTATTAACTACACTCATATTACCCAGATTAAGAAAAGGTAATAATTAAAATCATGAAGCACCTATACGGAAGGGTTTCTTTGTAAGTGTAAAAAAAAAAAAAAATAGATACGTCTTTCAAAAATCTTGACCTGGGAAGAAATGTCTTCCGCTGTTGGAAAGATCACAATGTTTCAATTTAAAAAACAACCACAAGAGGGCAGAAACGACCCATGGAAAGGTAACAAATATTACCAATCTACAACATTTCACTCTACATTCCTCACGATGACACCTATCACGTTTGGACAGTTGCAGTCTGCAGTTTACACTTCGATCCAGTTAGATCCAGCCATTTCCTTATGCAATACCACAGCTATTGAAAACTTAAATCGTATAATTAATATATAAATCGAATGGTTAATATATATAATTAATATATAAAGTTTATCGACCGGAGGTCTGTTTGAGGGTGAAAAACTAAATGGCAGTCAGGTGGTCTTCCTGGATCATGCAGACACCGTATTTTGCCATGTTTAAAAGGACTGTCACTAGAACAAGAATGTGCAAAGTGTGACTGGCCAAACGTTTTTTTAACAGGAATAGTTCCCGATACAGGCTGCAAAATAATTGTAGCAACCTGTGAGGTGCATATTTGAAGCAGTTATGGGTGGTTAAACTGTCCACGTTTCAATTTAATTGGGCAACAGTTTCAAAGGTGAAGATTTTGAACATTTTTTTAGAATGCAGATGTGATTGTTTCAGGATCTTCCATTCTTGGATGACTAAAAACAAATATTTAGACACTACATGGCACAAGAAACCAAGAAAAACATACATCAGACCTTCCTCTACTACACCACAACTTGTAATAACACAAGGCATCCATTTTTCTAATGACTAATTACTAGTACTCACCTAGAAACTGCCTAATAAAACCAAATATCAGATAAATACTGAATGTTACAAATGAGAGAAGGCCATTCAGACCAGTGTATTTGCAGATTCATGTGGGAATCTCCTCCAGCCATTCCCTGTAAAAGGCCAGGGCATTTTGAATGTAGATTTCACCCTGAATTATAAAAACAGATTATTCTGATTTAGCAAAAAAAGAAAGGTGTTTTTAGCAAAAAGAAAGGAAAAAGAGGTGATTTCAAAATATCAGGAAGCACAGGATCCCTGGAGATCCAGATGAAAGGAAGACAAACAAACCAAAGAAAACTGCATTCCTCACCCTGTCATGACCTCTAGATGAAGCTGTCCCGAGACCGTCAGAAAAGCAGGAACAGAGAAGAAGTGGGGTTCATCTTCGCTGGGGCCCTGCTCTCTGCCTGCAGGCTAAGGACAAGGAAATAGTACAGAAGCCATCCATCTTCAGTCGGACATTAACTCTGCAATTGTCTCTCTGAAAAGGAGAATCTAAAATCAAGGACCTACAGTAGTACAGCCTTGGAAAGTTCATCATTCCAAAGGATTTATTCATGATTATAAAATAAAATATTATTATTTGATCCATTGTGGTGGCAAGTATTCTGACACTGTGGCCAGATATGCCTGAAATCAGATCAAATGCTAGCTGCCCATGTTAAGTACTACTTACTTACTTCATTTTTTAATGAAAAATTAAGCAAGTACTTAATTCATTAATTATGAAAAGTTTGACTTTGCTCTGCGCAGTGCGTTTAAGATGACTGTTTCACATGTTTAGATAGAAACATTATCCTATCTGTAAAGATTTCCATTATTTAATGTTTACTGTTCCTTCCTCAACAAGGGTATGAACAAAAATGAAGGCCATTACTTGTTTTTACACATAATTTTGAAATAATATTGAAATAAACAAAACTTACAAAATTAGAAGAAGAATGCAGCAGTTTTACTTTAAGAAATGCATGCTAAACATTTTTTCTTTGGATTTTCAAGCATATAAACACCCTTTGAAACTTTAATCGTGTTACATAATTCTCCTAAGGTACTTCCACATCACCAGTTAAGCAGATATCTTCATTCAGCCCCAAGTTCTAAATCTGCAAGGCAAGATGTCACAAATAATGTACTAACACGCTCAGCTTACAGCTTTGGAAAAGGAAACTGACATACTCCATGCACTTACTGTACCACCTACATCTCGCTCCAAAAGGGGCTGCATGTTCCTGACTTGAAGGCAAAGTTTTGCCACTTTCTATCACACCAGATATCTGCTGCAGAGTTAATTTATGACTGAATTAAACTAAGCATTATCGTTGTTTGAATAGATGGCTAAGAGGTTTAAAACATCTGTATGATAAATAGGTCATATTATTATTTATATACCCATATTTCATCAAAATAAAAATGCTCCCTTTAGATAGTATACTTTCACAGCTCTACGGAGGATTTTCTTCTCTGTTTTGTCTTTTCACCTTCAAAATGTGAAAGTTCTCTAAGAGAACATTTAAGTTAATAATTTGGGATCTGCACTTACTTCAATCTGGAAAAGTTCACCAGCACCCTCACAGTCGTTTGAGGTGATCACAGGTGTATGAATTTGCACAAAACCATTATCCTAAAATAGAAAAATAAAAAACTGATGCTTAGATTTTAGACTTTCTCTTTATTTTTTCCCCAAAGATCCTGGGTCTTGTGCTTTCTATTAGGAAGTGTACCTGAAAGAATACATTTAAGCAAATACATTACTGTGTAATACTTAAGGTTAAACATAATATATACATTTTTAAAAGACTGTATTATTGGGACACTGACAATCTAGCCACAGTGAAATGCATTGCCTCCTTGTGGTTACAGAGTAGTACTGTTTTATGAATAAAAACTGTCCTGAGAGTTTCATTTAGAAACCTTGAAACAACAGTATGAGGCAAAATAAATGTGGAAACTTCTTGACTGTTGTCAAGACAACCAAAAAAAAAGGTAAACCCTGTATCTTAAATTAAAATTACACTCTCTTCAAAATTCTCTTCAAAAAATGTAATTGTGTAGCATTTTAACTTTATTATGAAATGCCTAACTATAATGTAAAAGTGTGACCTTTAGTGCATTTTTTTATTTTAACTATTATTGAATGAGTGTTATTGTTTTGAAATTATAGCAATCTTGCATCTACTAATTTAAGTACCAAATACTGTAAACATCTGTTTATTTGAATTTTGATGCTTGATTCTAAATGTATATATTTTCTTTAGCCAGCAGACATATCATCCTGAAGCTCACAACTGGTAGCCCATTGAAGCTCAGCAGGTATGAGCCTGGTCAGTACCTGGATAGGAGACCTCCTGGGAAAAACTAAGGCTGCTGCTAGAAGAGGTTTTAGTGAAGCCAGCAGGGGGCGCTCACCCTGTGGTCTATGTGGGTCCTAATGCCCGTAAAAAGTAAAAAAAAAAACTGTAAAAAGGCGCCGTCCTTCGAATGAGACATAAAACCAAGGTCCTAACTCTCTGTGGTCATTAAAAATTCCATGGCATTTCTTGAAAAGAGTAAGAGTGTAACCCTGGGTTCCCAGCCAAATTTCCCATTGGCTCTTACCAATCATGGCCTCCTAATAATCCCCATTTATGAATTGGCTTCATTACTCTGTTCTCCTCCCGACTAATAGCTGATGTGTGGTGAGCGTTCAGGCGCACTATGGCTGCCGTTGCATCATCCAGGTGGGGCTGCACATTGGTGGTGGTGGAGGGGAGTCCCCAATACCTGTAAAGTGCTTTGAGTGGAGTGTCCAGAAAGACACTATATAAGCGTAAGCAATTATTATTATTATTATTATTATTATTAGTCTGCTTACTTTCACCAATGTCTAATACAGTTTTGTGCTACGTTCTAGCAAATGAATACAAAATGGAAACAGGATAATGTAGACAGGTATTTGCATTGATCTCAAAGACATGGCTGAGCAGTGGTAAGGGCATGGGAGTCTCTGAGGTCTTACCTTGAAGAAGGACTGAATGGCTGTACTAGCTTCACTTCGTATTCTCAACAGGGAACCGAATGTTTTTGTCCGGCAGCGTAGATGTGGGAACTGCCTGATGTACTCCAGTGAATGCCTTTCCTTGATTTTAAATGGATAATCCTGAAATCAAAGCGTATTTTTACATAAGGTATAATTCTGAACTTCCTCTTTATTGATTTTCTCGAACACGCATCCGAGATTACATTACATCAATAGTGTACATATGAAAAAATAAAAGAAAACAAGTAATAACCTGACTCTGTGACTGGTAATTTTTAAATTATTAAAAATGGCACTTCAAAAGGTAAAGTTTATTCCACACTTTGGCAGTGGTGTATAGTTACTGTATGTTTTAACAAATATATAATTTTTCTATAGTTATATTCTTTATTAGCAGGAACATCAAAAACATTTCATTCACCAAAGTCCACTCCCAGGTTCCACACTAATCCATCTTCCCTTAAGCTGCCCCTTAAATCAAGTCACTTAAGTCACTTCTCACTTCTCTACCTGATCTGCTGTGCAGTGGGGCTGTTAGCATAATGGCTGCCAAATGTCATCCAGGTGACAGCTCCACTGCACTGACATACTCCTAACTTACCACCTACATCTTGGTCTGAAAGGGGTTGCATGTTTCTTACCTGAAGGCACCATTCTGCTCCTTTCTATCACACCAGGTATCTTCCGCAGAGCTCATTTATGATTAAATTAAACTAAACATTTCAATTATTTGAATAAAGTGGATTCCCTTCTGCAGGTAAAGCGCTGTGGGATGATCAGCTCTATTTAAAGGCATGGATTATTATGTGAGCTGAATGTTTTGTCTTTGCCAGTATGAAAAGTGTCTGGATTCCCCCAGTATGCTCCAGGTGCTCACGGTGGGGAAACACCTGCTAAATACCATAAAGGAAATTCATACTGTATATACAAGTAGGCTAAGCCTGCAGGCTACAACCACGTCATTAAAGACAAATACATGTGGGTATTCCAATAAAGTATTTCGAAAAGTCCCTAAATCCCTTTCAAGCTTAAAACAAACATAGGAAGGTTTCTTTATTAAATATGCTGCAGCAACAGTATTTGGAGATATGGAGACTGTGAGGTTGACTAAACCTTAATGAACCTGTACGAAAAACAATGTGTGTGTAAAAATGGTAAATTCATTTACAAAAACGTAATGCCATCTCTTTGTTATCAGATGACATTTTATAATACAGATGCTTTGTTTATATTGAAGCCAAGGCAATATCAGGGGAAAACAAAGTTCAGAACAAGGCTGTTTAATGTCTTTCTTTAAGAAAATCTGAGAGCAACTCATAACTTACAATCCAGTGAATTGCTTAGCAGTTTCTTCATGGACACAGGGGGCTTAGAGGGAAAACCATTGATACTTTAAGCTATGTGAGATCACAGGAGAACAGTTCTTCTCTTAAGCCCTGTGGTTTGATTGGACCACTTTGCTGCAGCCTTGCAAATCCCCTCTGGATTCAGCCCAAGAGCAGGTCTATGGGGGGAGCAGCATGTAGTAAGATTGTAGTCAGCTTCTGGATTCACCACAAGCCCTAGAAAAGTTTTTTTGAGTGTGGAAAATGATGTAACACTCATCTGCACAAATACACCCAATGTACAACATTAAAAACTAGGTAATATGTGCGCAGATTGTCTGGCGTTCATTGTGAGACTTTCAAACCTCAAGGTTCCACCTGGGGTTAAGTTACTGAAAACAGAGGAGGTTTGTAATCCATCAGTCAGTGGAAGTGCTTGGCACACAACTTACCACAGGGTTACAATCTCCGATCACTTGAATGCTGTCTGCCTGCAGTTCAACAAGCTGTTTCTTATGTGGGCTTTTTTCCAGGGTTCCTGAGATTTTAACTGCACTTCCAAATGTAAGACACCTTTATATAACAAAAGGATACAAATAAAGATATACAGTAATTCATCTGAGTACTGTACAATATATATCAATTTGTAAAAGCAAATTAGAAAAATTTCCACAAAACAGTGGTTTTCAACCAGTTGTCTGCAAAACACTGGAGATTCCCAGAGACTTACCCAGATGTCCCCAGAAACACAGGGAAACCTAGTTGGGTCCAAAGAACATTTGTACTCAGTGGATAAAATGACAACGTATATAAAGGATTTGCTGAAATGTAGCTTTGCCTTTAGTATTTTGTAAATATGCTATTAAAATTGTAGATTATGTTTTTTAGAACTATGTTGTTAAAGGTTGAAAGAGGTACAATGTAGTATGAAGTAGATACAAATGTTGCTTCATAAATGAAAATTGAACATCTACTGTATGTGTGAAGAAAGTTGACCAAATTTAAATTAATTTCTCTACTGATATGTTACCAAGTCCGTGGCGTGGTACTGAGGCCCTGGGTTCAACTCCAGTGGTGCTTTCTGTGTGGAGTTTGTTTCCTGCCACAGTTCAAACACATACTGGCAGCTTAACTGGGTTCTGGGAAAATTGGCCCTCAGTGTGCGTGTTTGTGGCTGTGTGTGCCATGTGCCGGAATGGACAGGAATGACTTTGGTGCCTCTGTGACCCTGAATTGGATAAAGCAGTGAGAAGATGGATGGTTGTTCCCAAATACTTTAAAACGTTCGGAGGCTGGAAGAGAAAAATAATGCTCTTCTGTGGACAAGAAAAGAAACCTTTTTTGTTTTCTTACAGAGCTTAGTGATGGATGTTATGTGGCTGAAAGACCTGAGCTGAACAAAAACATTTTGAAAAAAACAGATGCAGTGAGATGTACGTGTTGTATTTATGAAGATAAAATGCGGCATTCAGTATCTCTGTTTATCCAGGCAGAGTATTGCTGGGAACACCAACATTTGGAAACATTATGGATGAGCGAGCTTTCATTTCCATAATGAAACGGGAAAGACTGCATAACCCGCAATCCACTTTCTTGCCGCTCGTCAGTAACTACTTTTCACGGCTCATAATTCTCAGATTTTAAAGGGGTCAGAACTGAGAAAGCCAAGCTGATCATAGTGTTGGTCGAAATGCTGAGGCCACTGTCTTGACCATCACTATTTCACAGGCTTATGAAGCACGGAATATCCTTTATTCTGCTCACCCTCCACACTCTGTACACAACACACAAATATTTGCCTTTTTGTCTGTGCAAACAAAATGCACATTCTAAGTTAGTACTGGTCTGCACATTTGTTTGATAAAAAAAACGATTTTTAATAATATACCTGTATTTCACCATTGTACTGTATATTAAATTCATCTTTGTGTTCTTATTTTAAATTCCTAAGACATTACTATGACTTCTATTTCTCTTGATCACACTATCATGCTGTTTCTTAGAAGTTTTCTTAACTCTTAAATCTTAAGTCAACTGTAGCCTGACTTGTACTTTGTTCTTGTTTGGGCATGTTACAACACTTGTTCATATCATTATATTGTTATACACTTGTTTATATCACTGTACTTATTGCACTGTGACTATATCTGACTGCAAACTTGTTACACCTTAAGGTACAAAGTGAGATTATTTTATGTAAATTGCATAAATGTTTCTGCAAAATCATTAAACTGTATCTTTACATCACCATTAAGCATTTACATAGATACACACAGTATGGAGTTATTAGTGATATACTGTAAGGAAATTGAAAGTGAGAGAGTCTGTATTTAGTGCATCATATCAGTACTGTATCATGTGTTCTGTAAAAAGGTTCTAGGCATCTACAACAAGGGATGTAGATGTCCAGCAGAAACTACACATCTTTTTTGAAGAAGTTTCCTTGGGATCTTTTTAATAAAAAGCTGTGTGAAGTACTCATATCAATCAGCTAGTAATGACCAGTGAAGGTGATTCAAGAGGGCTTCCTCTCGCTTCTAACCTTTCTCGTATTCTTAGAAGTAAAATTTCATTTGAAAGTAATAGTAACAACCAAGTCATACCTTTTATACAGCTCTGCATTGGCTACAACCTGCAAACTCTGCAGAGTGCTCCCATCGTTGACATGAAGAAACAGAATTTCCTTCTGGGATCGGACAGAACGGACCCAACCCTATAGAGGGAAAACAAGGAAGTAACTGGCCATGTGGAAAAAGATTCTTAAATAGTAATTCCATGGGAAAGTATCTGGAACACTCTCACTTGTTTAAACCTCACTACAGCACTTACAGCACAACATCACAGAATTGTACTTTTTTTCCCCCAACAAATCTGATTGACTTTTAATATTGTTCATCATCTGGGAAACAAGAATCTTGGATCTTCGCTCGTCAGCGGTAACGGTAAGGTACAGTACCTCGCAACATAATGACAAGCAATCATTTTGATCTTGTTTATAAGTAGTCATAACCTCCGTTTTAAAGCCTCTTTTGTTAATAATAATATAGTAGATACATATATATTTATTTAATAATACCTGCCATAAACACTCTTACCTGAATTTGTACATTTTTTCCAAATTCCTGACTTGAAAGTACTTGACATATTCTCACTTTTGAAGATGATTTCTGGCAGTAAAATTTACAATTAGATACTAAATGGTTAGAAACGCACGACCTACGTATACATAAATGTAAGAATTTGATTGGTAACATCTGAAATAAATTACTAAATATCAATAACTACTACAGTACCAAAGGTTATGTACCAGATATAGAACAAAATAAAAGCCGATACTGGCTATGTTCGGTTTCGCATGAAAATTGGGGGGAAAAAACTACACCTTTTCAATATACAAATGTATTTAAACGAAGAGATATTTCAATTCTTCCCAAAACCAGTATTCGTTTTGCACTTTTAACATTCATGCCTTTTCCCCTCTTTCCT